AAAGCGTACACTGTCATTGTCATCATCAGGACCAGCGCCTATCTCTAAGGAAACTTTAACTGATCATCAGCGTGAAATTTAGATGTGAACCAACTGAGTAGATAGACGAGAAATATCTCTCTGGCACGCTCATGGATGCACTGTAACCCTGTTTGCGCGAGTCAACTGGGATAATCACTGAGACCAGGTGTATTTTCTACATATAGTTACCTAATTCCATGGTTACGTTTTTTGCAAGTATAGTTTCTAACATCGCAATCGACGGGGTGATTCCAAGGCGGTATAGCACGGGTTCACCTAGTACGAAATTAGGTTTAAGAGACAGGCGTGGGAGCAGTGAATGGACATTACATCACTCAGAGAACACCTAGGCAGTCCCTGGCCAGTTGGAAGGCGGAAGCGTCTCCCTCGCTTCCAAGCCTAACCCCGGAGCTCCTGCCACCCAATGGGGTCTACACGTTAAATTTCACGCGCACTTTTGGGGTACTGTATAGGTCTGTTTTTCTGGACTTATAATCTTGTACCTCCCGGGCTATTTTCATCACTGGCTATTTTCTTCATAGACCGATCACTGACCGAACACCGTTGGTAAGGCAAACAGCCGGACACGGGCTCATTCCGCCTTTCCTGGCACCGCTCCGGCTGACTGAAACGTTATCAACTATACCTGCACCCTATTTATATCTATTAACCTTACTGTCGCTCACTCCTTTTAGTTGACTCTACGACATCATGATGTGACATACATTACTTATTACAAGTAGCTCGTCTTACTCTATTCCATGAGGATGACTCCACCTGTACATTAAAAGTCAGAAATACTGGTTTAGAAAAAAAAACGCTAAACTAGACATACTCGATCCATCTCATGCACCAATTTACGCATAACATCACGAGTACTTCCTTTTGAGAGCTTCGTTAGATAAAAAAGCTTTTCTTCCGCTTCTACTAGAGTGTCACACTCAGATACGAAAATAGACTGAAACAAGGAAAATACGAAAAACATGTCAAATATCACGATTTCAAATAAAAGTATAGCATGAAAGAAATGTGAAGTGAATTAGAACATACATCACGTTGCTTAGCTATAGCAAAAGCCATGCACACAGCAGCATGAGCCACCCTCGGTCCTCCCTCATCGCGAAACTGTGAATCCAGTAGCGCCAGTTCTAGCAAGTACTGGAAAAACAATGTACTACCGACTGTCATTCTTTTTCTTTTTGGCATTCTGTCCTAGATTTCTAATAAGAAACAAAAAAAGGAACACCTCCAGTCAGGAAACGAACATCCAAGAGCGCCGGGCTCACTGTCAAGAAGGATAAAACACTTGTCGCAGGGCACATCATCGTTAATGAAACACAGGAAGGGGTCGAATTTAGCCTCGAGAAATTTTGTTCCATTGCTGATTTATCCCGTTTTACTCGCGCTTCATACTTTCCCTTTCTTACAAATTATTTGGCCGGATTGAAATCGATTTGCTCTCGCTCCTGACACTGCCACATCTTGAGGGAAATTGGTAACTGAGTGAAATAGTAGGTAAGCTGTGGAAGCAGGTCGCGCCGTAGACCAAATGCTGGAGGTAGACAGTAGACTGGAGGTAGTCGGAGCCTTCGGCACGACTCCCCTGATTCCCCGGTCCCTACAATACATAATGCAAAAAATCTGCAGGACATGTTGACGTTCTCTGATTCGACGACAACCACTTCCTTCCTAGGGTGCGCCACGGAATCGACATATGTTTGGAATCACACCGGTATTCGAATGTGTAAACATTCCACAGGTACATGAAGAGGGACAACGGACAGTAATAATCTCTTTAGCTACACTAAGGGGGTGGGGGCAGGTGCGGGGGAAGGTTAGATCGCAGATCTCAGAAGTGACGGCAAGAAGTACGCAGACAATACGAGAGAGAGGGGGAGGGAGGGAGAGATAGAGAGAAGAGAGAGAGGAAAAAATTTTCACTCAAAG